CTTTGACCGCTCTAGTAGGTTTAGGTTACAGATAAATTTTTCCCTGTCTGAGCTCTTATTCTTGCATATAATTTTAATTTTATTTGTACTGGTACAAATAGTAGTAGCATTGTAAATCTCTACATATAGTGGTTTAATGGTTAGCCCTGACTACAAGTGGAAGCCTCGGTAACTACGCTGTAGTAATTTACATTGTAACTATTTTAAAAATTATTAATAAAGATATGAGCAAGGTCTCACCTTAATACCAAAAAAAAAAAAAATTTTTTTTTAAAACTTTGAACAAAGATATCTTGATAACTACTTAACCAAATTTGATAATTTTGTTTTTATTTGAATTTTACAGATCTGTAAAATTTAAATAAAAAATTCATTGAATTTAATTAGTTAGATGTCAAGATATTTTCATTCAAAGTTTTAAAAAATTTTAATTTCTGTGAGGTATGAATACTAAATGTGGGATATGAATACCAGCTCTCTATATATATTATAATTTAAATATATATAGCATTTTGTTAAACTCTATTAGCTTCATTAACAAATTATTCTCAATAAAGCAATGAAGCAATATCAATAGAAGTTTACTCCATTGGGCCCAATAGATAAATGTACCAACCCTGAGTACAAGATATCTTTTAAATTTTTTTTTAATTAAAAAAAAATCAAATCTAGTATAGTTGACACCTTTTATTTGGCACAAGGGTGTGACCAATTATTGGGTATGACAATAAATATTCATTATCACAGATCATAATTTAACATAGTTATAAGTTCGATCTCTATTTTCTTCCTATTTGGAAATAGTTTGTACCTTAGTAACCTGTAATATATTATCGTTATATATATTTTATTTTTATTTTTATTTTTATTTTTAACATTAAACTATTTTACCCACAAAGTTTCTGGTTAAAGATCGTCAAAACACTTGCCACATATACTCTTTTTAGTAGGATCTACTTAAGCAAATTGGGAAAAAAAATCCTTATGTTTTTAAATAATAGTAAATCTATTTGAATCTATTATTTAAATTGTAACGAAAAGTATAAATAGTAAATGGTAAATAGTGGTAATAGTACATTACCCAAATTTCATTTTTAAAAAAAAAACCAAAATACAACCTTAAATGATAAAAATTTTAGATTTATGGCTTTCCCATTTCATGTTTATTTGCAATCTTCCGAAATTTTTACTTTTTTATTTTTTTTTGTATCAGATTTTTTACTGGACAGATGAATTGATAATCACTAACGTTAAAGACTATCACGAAAGAATCTGTCGATTTTTTCTAAACCTGTACCATATATCAATATTTTTTTCTCAGTTTATACTATATACCATTCTCATCAATCACAAGACTATAATCTTTTATTAAAATACAGGCAAGGTATCCTCTATGATCAGTACTCTTTAATTTGTACTCCCTGTATTTGTGCCAAGTAAATACATTTCAAGATTATTTGTTATTATTATTGCTCGACCGAATCTTTATTATGAAGGAAAAAACATATAGGAATTGGGATCGCCATCATATATACTTCAAAGAGGATCATTACATTATGCTTGCTTCTTTCTGTCTGCTCATATATAAACAAATTATTGCTTGTAACCATTATCTTAATAGACCACATATGCTAAATAATTTTAGAAACATCTGATGGGTTGGGTGGGGTGGGGTGAAAAAACCCAAACAAATTTTGAATGAGCTAAAATTATATTATTTTGTTTGGAAAAAACCCATTCTTCTACAATGTTATAAAAAAGTCATAAAGCGACTTAGTTTAATTGTTTAACCATATTAACTTTACACTGCAGCGTAGCTGTGAAGCCTTATTAACGGCAAAAAATACTTATACAAGTCATTAGTTACTGGGAACGATCATAAAGCAAAATCTATCATATAGTTACTGGGCTGCAAATAAGGTCCTCGTATTGCTAAGTAGCCGTAGAGCCTTATATTTATTAATGCATATTGGTATAAGATACTTATCTAAATTAAAACCTTAATCGGTGGTCATTGCACAATCATACTAAGCAGCTTTATATATATTTTCATTAAGATCCTTGTACTGCTATGTAGCTATAGAGCCTTACATATACCATATCATGTTACGCTTACAAATCCATGTACAATGATGTCATTTTCGATGCAATAATGTAACGCCCTAGGATTTTACTAATTTCTCCCCCCCCGGTTTCGCTTGGCTAGGATTATTCACACTAATTTACATGTCACCTGTTTAAAATGTGACATCTCAGTTAGGGTCGGGGTTAAGGTTAGTGGACGGAATTATACCAAACTTTTGCAAGGAGTTTTTTTTTGTTAGTGCGCAAAGGGTGATTTATTAGACGAATTTTTGAGATAAATGTGATTTTTTAAAAAAGAACAGAAGAACGATTGTTGTTTTGATTGTCACGTTACACCTGTTCTTGCACTCTGATTGGCCAGAATTAAATTGGGGAAGAAATTAATAAATGCCGCTCCCACAAAATTGTTCACCTTCGTGGTTTTTGACCAATCAAATTTCAAGATCAGATATGACGTAAACAATCGAAGCGAAATCACTTTTTTACAAAAAAACAGTAATAACTTGAAATTTTAATTAAGAGACCACTTTCTGTGGTCTAATTAAACATGCTCTTTGTGAAATTTACTGTTAGGTATGAAGCTATTTTAACCCTAAACCAAATTATAACGCAGTTTTATTCTTAGTAAAAAATTACCGGAAACACTATCTACGTTGGCTTTATCACTTTGTTGATGAGCCAATCATGAGATACCTAGATACAAATCAATAGCCGGCTTAATAATATAAAAATTTTTTCGTCTAGTGAGTGTAAATATATCGAAATTTGATTTATATTCTAGCATTCGTGGGTACTAGAAAAAAAATACTGGCTAGTTTCTATAGAAATCATGTGTAAACCAAATTATCGACCGATTTATTTCTCGGGAGCATAATTCAACCGAAGTTTGAGTAGATAACTTTGAATTTTGGTTAGTAAATAGCATAATCTCTTTTTTGATTGGCAGCTACCAATAGATTATCTATATCGCAGAATCTTATCTTAGTAGGGGAAAATTTAATAATTTTTCATCTCCAACCCTCAAGTAATAGCTATTTGACATATCTTTGTGTTTGTAAAAATTCGCTTATATTAATTTAAAATTTTAAAGTAAACGTCTTTCTTGCAGATATGGTGTTACTTCCGCCTTCACAGTATCATCAAGCTAAAGGATATAGTCAGTCTCCGGCGCTTCAACGCGCAAGAAGACCATTTTTTGTTCGTAATGTTATAACTGGGTTACTCCTGTTAGGATTTACTGGGGCCGTGTGTATCCTTTAATCATTCTGTAGTTATGACTCTAATAACAATGAGAATTATCGTTATAATTATTATCTTTGACTTTGTTTACTAAAAAACAAAGACACTTATTCAATCATGGCAGTTAAGCAAGATGATTTAGGCGACGTTCCCATGCCTCAATTTCCAGCAGATAATGAAGAATCAACAAAATAAAATTTATGACAATATAATTTTTGTTATTAGAAATCCAATAACACTTTAACATTTTATATTAAAATTTACTAATATATTTGTTAGATTTTCACAGGGAGATAAGTTCTTTATTTTAGACTGTTTTCAAATACTTCTCTCTATGGTTTAATCCGTTGGATATCCATTAAATTTAATATGAAAACGAATAACAGATCCAAGTTCTCAGATTGAATGAAATTTCAAATCCGCGTCTCATACAATGAATTCTTGGCAAAAGTGTTATAAGAATCACTTTAATTAATTGAATAATTGAGCAACGTCTCGATTTAGCAAATTACTGTTAGAGAACAGCTTTACAGGCATAGAACATTGGGTGGTCGATCATCCAATAAAATCAAACATATGTCTAGTCCCATATAAATCCATATAAATTTACAATATTGCAGATTTTTTTTATCATTTAATCATAGTTTGTAATATCTCGCCACAAAATATATTTGGAAGACCGATGATAGATTTTCCCTAGACGACACTCAGTAAACAAACAGGTTTTCCCTTGACGGCACTCATTTATCTTGATAAAAAAAAAAAATAATCAAATTTTTTATTACATATATGACGACTAAGCACCATAAGTCGCATGATGTCCATCTTTATGTGTAATAGTATTTAGTAAACTATATTCGAAGCGAGACCGCAAACGCATTCTGGAAGATTTAAATGGTTCTTCAACCTTAATTGCGCGATGAATTGACACCAAACTTGGTAAAAAAAGAAATCGTAACACTTCTTTTACAATGTTATGTTAAATATTTGTACCTTATTTATAGTTTTACTCAATTTGTATAATGTTTTTAATTGAAAACTTTATTATGGTATGTAAAATCTGAAAACATAGCTTTGTTAAGAATGCAGTAAAGAGTGAAAGACGTTAAAATTGAAAAAAAGCATTTATTGTTGAATGTTAAATATCCAAAAGTATTTTACTAATCTTTTAATATAAAAGACCGCGATATAATTTTGATCAAAAAATTTATTATTATACAAAAATCAATGAGACTAGAAATATGTTTATTCTATTAGATGATCGACCACCCCAATGGGACATGTCTTCTTACAGAGGTTCAAAATTTTGTATTTATTGATTAAATAGTGGGAACTCCTATTTTCAGTTACATAAACATAACAAACATATTGTCATGAAAATTTACATCAAATGGTGAAAATAGGCGTTCTCTAAATAAATTGACATATTCAAATTTTTATATATTGTATATATAAATTTATAAAAAAAATACTTTAATTAAAATTAATTTAAAAACAAATAGTATTTTAACTTGAAATTTTAAATATGTCACATTTAAAATTACAACTTCAAATATTTAATGTTATTATTTAAAGCTGCAATTTTAGATATTTGAAGTTGCAATTTTAAATAGACAACCCTTGTATTTAAAAAAAATTTTTATTTAAAGTTGTTATTTTAGATATCTAAAGTTGTAACTTTAGATATCAGTTACATGATATGCCATGGTGTAAATTTTGTATATATAAAATTATAGCAAAAATATATAGAATTACATATAAACTTTGTTGTGATGATATTTCTTTCTTTATATTAACTCTAAATTAAATTTTATACATTATAAAAAGAAAAAAAATACATTTTAAGCCAAATAAAAATTTTGCAATTTTGATACAATTTGAAAATGTAACTCTGTTAAAAAAAAAATTAATAGTTTTAAAGTAATAATTATATATAAAATTATATTCTGAACAACTTCAGTTTAGATATACAAAAAGGTTATCATAGTAAAAGAAGTTTTCTATATACTAATATCAAAATTTCTAGTTTTTTTATATAAAATTTTTTTTTCTATTTAGATAACCTGTTCTAACCTCTTAAGCAAATTTGTTTGGTATATAATTCTATATATTTTGTATCTTATTGATTTTGTTTTTTCATATTTTTAATAAGGGTATAGACATTTATCACCTGATTTTTTAGGGGGGAGAAGGTCAGAGGGTTATCAGGTGTTATATAATATAGTATTATTAGCCAATCAAAATGGTCCAATATAACAATATAAAATTTTTAATAATAAAAATTAAAAA